TGTGCCATAATCTATTCAGCCGTGATGCAAATGATGTGGTAACTTTCATGTCTCGAATTTCATATTGGATTGTTATGAATTGTGATATAAGAGGTTGAAATTGTAGTGTGTTCTGTGTGTACATGTTTTATTGCTATTGATATGTATTAAATTTTTCTTCAGGTAAGAAAAACAGGTGAAATAACAGTCTTTATATTTTCAGTTTCCTGGCTAGCGAGTATGTTGTGTTGGTTAAAAACTAGTTTACTTCAAGAAGTGCCATGTTGCCGATTAAATAACAGCCCGGTCCAGGTTTCAGTTATATTCTTTGTGTCTTATATTGCTGAGAGGTTCTCCTGTCGACTTACTCCCGGGATAGCAAAACATGTAGATGAGCAACACACCATATTTAGTAAATAACGAAAGTACAAATATCCATACAGTTATTTATCGTTATATGAATGTTCGAGAAATGCAATTTCATTTCATTGTGCTCACTTCGTTTAAGCCGATTTGAATTAACAACACTCGCTTTGATTCGAATTGCTTTCTGGCCAATTAAATGAGACGGAGTACAGTGTATACTAGTGGTGTATACCTTTTGTGGATGATACTAATAATATTATTTCACATCCAGAAATTATTTCCAAATTTGTGTGAATGATGTCTTTGATGGCTTGAACAATTGGATTTAAAAGCCAGTAAACCAACATTAAATTTTGACAAAACAAATTTCTTGAGAGAGTACCGATAAAAATTGTGTTAGGCCAGGAAAAGAGTTTGGGGATAAAACAATTGAAGAAGGAACTATGTAATTTATATTTGTATCAGAAAAGATGTATTGTATTTGGATCCTTATGGCATTCTTTACTCATACTGGAGTGTCAAGAACATTTAAAAATTCCCAAAGGTTTGTCCAGGTGCTTCCACACAGTATGCTGTGCATCATGTTAAGGATTATTGCACACAAATTGAATTGTTTCAAGGAAGAAACACTGATGAGTAGATGCACACTGCCTATTCATTTTATGTGTAAATAATTAATAATTTTAGACTAATGTTTCTTTGCAGAAAGAATGACTGGTGTGCAGAACGGTTTCCCCCTTGGGCCACAGCCTGGAGTAACCTATCCAATTCAAGTGTTATATTGTGGTAATTGTTCTTTGCCAATAGAGGTGAGTGTGATTTAGAGACTAGATGGTTGATTATGAACTTTGCACTTCATGTATATTCATTTAGGGTAATAATTGTGCTTGCTTGTTGCAGTATTGTGAATACTATCCAGAATATGAGAAATGCAAATTGTGGTTAGAACGAAATATGCCTTCAGAATTTGAGAGAGTTTTAAAACTAGGTAAGTACATGTTTATACCTAGCAGTTAAAATTAACATGGTTATACAGTAAACAGTTGCCCAACATGGGGGATATATTCCTTGAAAGCAGCGTGTTTAGTTAATCTGCACTGGAAAACTTATTATTGTGTGGGATTATTGGGGATATGGGAAGATAGCCATGAAAAGTCAAAGAAAATAGTTATAACTATAAAGTAAAAAAAAACTGTCCCACTATATGCCATTTAGTGCTTGGGGTGGGGGGAAGTTAAGGCACAGTAAAAGCCTATAAATTTGACAAGGTCAGTATGTTGCCCCTGCAACATCCATGGGCACTGCCAAGGTCAAAGCTCTTCTCCCAAGCAATAGGCAGTAGTTAAACTGACTTCAGGTTTTTAAACAGCTGTCTTATTTTTCATACGCTACTACGAGGCTCGTCCACAAAGTAAGTTTTCCTGGGGCCGTTTACAGAAACAAAACACAATTTCATGGAAATATTTATTGCAACAGATACAGCAAGTGTCCAGCTATTTTTCAACATATTCGCCACCGGAATTGAGACATTTGTCATACCGTGGGACCAACTTTTGAATACCTGGGGTCCGTCGAGCCGTGTGCGGCCTAGCGTTATCGTGCAGGAAGACAATACCGGCACTAAGCATCCCGCGCCACTTGTTCTGAATGGCCTGCTGAAAATTGTCTGCACCAGCGACGCACCATCTGCTTGCTCATGACGTTAGGCCCATAGACCCGGCACAGCTGACGATGAATTTCGATCGGCGCTATGCTCTGTGCATTCAAAAACTTTATCACTGACCGCACTTCACAGTCGGCGGGAGCTGGAATAAGAACCTCCATCTTCAACAGCTACAACGATGCTACTGTGAGAACGCGGGAAGTACCGTTAGTGCATGGGCCATGCTACGTCATTGCTCTATCACGTACGCACAGTCGCTTCGCGCAATATAAGGTTTGCTAGCTGTGGGACGAGTGGGAAACTTACTTTGTGGATGCGCCTCGTACATTGTGTATGGTAGACCATGTATGATTGAATTTTCTGTTTCATTGTGTATGGCAGACCATGTATGATTGAATTTTCTGTTTACAACCAATAATTTTTTCACATTTATTTTCATGCATATAATTGAATCCATGTTGGAGGTGTCATCTGTTGAACATTATATGTAATTTATTCTCTTTTTTTACCAATCTACAGGAGTTTATAATTTATCAATAGAATGATTAAGAATGATCTGAAGAACAGATATGAAGTGCAGGTGCAATATTCTTATCTGATTACTTCACTAAGGTATATTATGTTACATGATACCTGGTCACAACGTTTTGAGGTTGAACCTGTGAAATCTAAGGTACTTGACTTACAGGCTTGGGAAACTAGTGCAGAGTACACTTATTCAGACATCGTCATTGATTAGCACCAGTTTGTTTTTTGTGGTGTACTTTTCATGCCATTTTATTTCACGGTGGGGAAGGGACATGTAATTTGATTTGACTGTGACAGTAATTCTCTGAATTGTGAGTCCACATTTTGTAGGGGAGAAAGAAGATGGAGAAGGAGGAGGAGGCGAAGAGGAAAAGAAGCGACAGAAGCGGGGTGGGAAGGGTATCATGAAAGCACGCAAGAAGGAGGATGGTCCAAAGCAAGTGTGCGTATCGCGGGCTCCTCGGGGTAAGAAGAAATCTGTTACTGTTGTAACAGGGCTTAGCACATTTGGTAAGTGTTTATCAGAATATTTTGTGTAATCACATTTGCATGTGCATTCTCCACAGTGGGGGACTGAAAAAAGAAGTTAAAATTGGTTTGGTACTTTTAAAAACTTCTCTGAAGTTTCTTGACCTTTCAACTTGGCATGCTTGCTTGTCATGATGTGACATGTCAGTGCTGAGCAGTAATTACATATTGTTGCATACTCTATTTTCTTATAATGAATTTAAGTGGAATTTTTCAAATGCACTTTCTACATCCCCGTCACTAAATCTGCAGGTTTTTCAGTTGCATATATCATCCTAATAGACTGATTTTTACTGTAGAGTTCCATGAGTAATGAAAGTTTTACTGTTTATTTAAGTGTAAATTAAGATGTGGACAGTTGTAAGAAACATATAAATGTTTCCTATGGCATGTTCTGTGACAATTTTTTGACACTTTCTTGCAATTTTAGGGAGATGAGTTGCCACCTGTTTCTTTAATGTAGACAGACAGTAGCTCACTTGATTGAAGTTGTGATTCTAATGTGATCAGCGAAGACAACAGTTTGTGGGGAAGTGAACCTCAATATGAAGTTTGGGCCCTGAAATTATGTATTGTAATGGATGTTCAGATCACTGAATGAATTATTAAGAAATATATAGATGTTTTGGACCATTATTTTACCTTTCAGATATCGATCTAAAAGTGGCATCAAAGTTCTTTGGTACCAAATTTGCATGTGGGTCATCAGTGACTGGTGATGATGAGATTGTCATCCAAGGTGATGTTAAGGATGAGCTTTTTGACATCATTCCAGAAAAGTGGCCTGAGGTAAGCAAAATGTAACAGTCTGTGTATTGTTTCTTTAACCCCTCCAGTTTACAGTGGTCTAGAACACCAGGGCTTGAATACTGTGCTACAGTTGACAGCTCTCTGAAGCTCTTGTATTATCAGCTGTTCCTTGGAAACCAACAAAATCAGGCTCTAAGACCGGAGGGGATACTATTAATATGAATACTTGCTTACTAAATTTCTGTATTTCTACAGGAAGAAAAAGGAGAACACTTTTTTAAGATTTTTGGGGGATCAAGCTCTATTGCAAATGAGTGGTGAATGTTTTGGGATGTGGCACCACATCTTTCTTGTGTACTGGGTCGGTGAAAATGTGTCTTGAAAATCCTCTGCCCCTGTTGGGGACCAGTCCCCAATCATTCAGCCTGTAGTCAGTTCAGTCACTATACTGATTGCGCTACCTGGAACTTCTTATTTGACAATATATATAACATAATTAGCAGCACAATTTTTTTATATATGTAAAGAAGCATTTTATCACTTATTACAGCAGGGGTTCTTAAATTGTGGTGCACAAAAAACATATGAAAAATGATCGTTCTGTTATTCTGTAATAAAGATTTACTTTGAAAGATTGTAGTGCAACCTAAGGATGGCGGCTTGTGAAGTGGACCATTTCATGTGGTAATATCCTGTTCCTGTCTAACATATCACATTATACATTACTGATAGAGCCTTCATAGCAGCATGAAGTGTTAAAATTATTGCCCAGGCTGCTATTTAATGAAAATATTCTGTTACTGTTAGTATTAGTGTGATGTAATTATCTGCTTTTTCATAGATTGATGAAGATTCTATTGAGGATCTAGGTGACCAAAAGAGGTAACATTGTTTCCAAAGCACGCTGCTGCTTCTGTTAGGAGGAGAGTTTGTGTCGCTCCCATCCCCAGGAAATTCAGTATCGGCAGTTGAGTAAGGATACAAAAGATTACCTTGTTTCAAGATTCATGAATGATATAATAATTATTAGCAAGTAATTTATTATGAAATGTAACAAATTAATATCACGCAATAAATGTGCAGTTTGAAAGTCATCTTTACTGAGTAAATTGAGACCAAAACAACACATTTCAGTTACACTGCATTGATATTATGCTTGTTTTATTGAACATTCATGTTACTAGAATAAATTACTGTCTTCAGTACCCCTTATCTTGTGAACTGTGGGTTTTAAAACTACATCACCCTGATGGAGGCAAGAAATCCTTCCAAAACACTGGTAACAACCTGCAGACCACATGGCATCATGTTGAAGACCACAGTTGTGATAACCTCAAAACCCATCTCTTATCTAGATGGAAATGTTGAATTTGTAACTTTGTTGCACTAGTTCTGGAGAAGACCGGGTTGCACAAGTTGACAGTTAACTACAATCTGCAGCAGTTGTTCAACTTGCTCATCTGTTAGCCTTTCCTCACTTTCTTCCACCATCTGAAACATGCAATTGAAATTTCAATGAAATGTTCACTTAAGTGCACTTCGGCGATGCTTCAGTCCATTTCTTAATTTGTAGGCAAGATAACTACCAAAAGGTGGAAATGAAAATACAGCTGCATTACTGGTACTGATATTTTCTGTTTTGAAATTTAGGCACAGAGGTGTCAATGAAACAAAACAAAAGTGCATTTTTCTCAAAGGGCATGTTGTAGAAAAAATTATAAGTTAAAAAGGGTTCCCATACCACAGGGTAACAATGAATGCACACTACTACTGACAACACTGGAGCACCTAAAGGAAACCATCCAGAGACATGTTGGCTTGCTCACAAAGAAAGTGATCGTAATCCACGACTATCAAACCCCCAGCCCTCATACAGGCACTGTCACAACACAACTCCTGCAGCATTTTGCTAGGAATGCCCCTTCAAATCACGCCTCTGACATTTCATATAATTCTTCACATCAACTGGGAAAATTAATACATACAAGCTGAATTTCTAATGGAGTTGTTGGTGGACTGTTGAGTAACATAACTTTCTCTGCTTTAGTTAACTTGAAAGGTTCCAGTGCTTTTAAAAAGTTATGAATTATTTCTGGTGACTGGTGACTGCATGGAGTGTCTTGAAGGTACTGGATAGTCTGAAACAGAAAAATTAGTTTGATAATGGGCACATTTACATCTTCCCATGTCACAGATTATGGTACTAAAGAATTTACCTCATAAGTAATTGTAGCAAGATGGCTTCTAGTATTGCTGCGTTTCTGTTGACTGCGAAGTTCTTGGAGTAGCCTGAGTACCTATTAACACACACATAACCTTAATCATGCAAATTAACAATGTGAAAACTCATTTTACTTAAGGTCAGAAAATATTTATGTACCTCATAATTGCTCAGGATTCCTGCATTAGCCTTTATTCTGAAATGGAAAGAACATAATTAGTTAATATCAATTCATGGGCTTAATTTTCACCCAAGTGTGAAGAGGCACAGTCCTCATGAAATGGTCTTTGAGAACTGTCAATCTCAGCATGAATATTGTCATATGAAGCCAATCTAAAACATATTTTACAGAGAACTCATACAACCTTCTTTCCTATTGCACAAACATCCAGTCCAACAAATCTGATGCTGATAATGTTATGATCAGGTAACAATTTTACACAATCCAACAACAAAATCAGTTTAGCTCATGAGAGACAGTGCCTCGGCATAGATGGTGACTAATGAATTTTCCTGCTTGCTTCCACAAGTGTTATAAATTACTATTGTTGTTACCATTTGTATTAGCAGTATTTTTATTTCCTCATGTGTTCTTGACCCCCTCCACCAACATACATTTTTCCAAATTAGGATTTTCTAACCATAGGTAAATAGCTCGTCATTTGTTTCATCTCACTTAACCTACCACGAAAAGTCAATCTAACCTTACCTAACCTTTGCAAACTTCATCTGACTCACCTAAACTAACCCTGCCACCGCTAAACCATTCCAACACAACTTTACCTAACCCTACAAATGGAAACCTAACCTTGCCCAAAGTAATGTAATGTAAACAAATCTAAAGTCCCTGCCTAATCTAACACAGAGGTATTGTTTGCCACCCAGTGGAATTTCAACCACCACTTGTATCCAACAACGTTAATATGAAAAACGTGCTTATAAGTTTAGTCACCAAACAATCAAAATCCGTCCAACAACCACGTTAATCAGAGTAACCTCATGTCTTCTCTTCCCACAAAACCTAACCAAACCAAATTCAAAGTTCACAAATAAAACATGGCATTGAACAAATACAATACTAGTTCCTCATACAACTACAAATTACATAGTCTGTACCTAGTCACTCTACTGACACGTACTCTCTTATCTGAAGTCTTTATTCGGCAAACAACACTTACGTTTCCATTTGTTTGGTGTTAACTGTTTTGATGTAAATCTGTCTCTACATATTTCAAAAAGGTATTATGAGTGATTTTCATACTGTTTGCTGTGTACGTTCGATCATATTTCTCATACCGGAAGTTCTTACGTAATGGGAAGTAGTTATTACAAGTGACATGCTGAAAAAGAAACCCCTCCTTTAAAATCTTTCTCAAATATGAAGTGTAAAGATTGCAATTAAAATAGGATGTTAAATAAATAGTACATCACAAGTACAGAAAACAAGCCGGAGACTTGCCATCGTTATGCGTACGTAAGTATTTAATTCATTGATTCCACTTACTTAAACACCCTCATAATTTAAACTGTAATTACAGATACCCCCGACCTAGGCACAAAATCTTTCAGTTACAATTAATTACACACCTCAGCCAACTATGAATCCTACAACTTCATAGTCTGCAATGAAATACCTTTATACAGTGCGCTGTAGAACTGGTTTTGCTGTTTCACCGTATGTCAATACAAATAAATATTGTACCGAACATGCGTTATAGTAAGAATATTATGTAATGAATGAGCCTATTCACCATATAAATAGCCCCCGTTCAGTTTAATTTTAAGTGCATAGGTGGTGCATTACGTTATGAAATTGGTCTGAATCTATTTAATTTAAAAATGTTTCCACTAATAAACTGGTTGTTTTTTTATATTTAAACTATTGTGTGTTGAATGTAATAATCTCAATATATAATTTAAGGAACAGAATGGAATTCTTTCTTATAAGATATCACGTGTAACTCCACAAGTTAAATAATTATAAAGCAGGTTGTGTACTGCAGGGTAATGAAACTATTTTCTTTCCTCAGGCTTAGAATAGTTTTCATGTTGAATGCAAGGGCCATGAGCCCCCTTCTAGCACTGGTTTTGAAAATTAACAACCAGTTAATGTTATTTCTATCAATACTTATTCAGTAATTTTGAATTACCATCATATATGCTCAGATATATATTTCATTAAAATGTGCACAAATTACTATAGAGGTCTATATTATTTGAATTCACTCCTGCAACAGCTTTTACTCTTACCTGCAAAACTTCCATTTTACAGCAGGGTTTTAAGGTCAGTAGCATGTGTGACGCTTGTGTGTTTGTATGTAAAGTATAAGGCATCGCCCTGATGATGGAGGTAGCAAGGACCTCTTAAACATCGGTAAACTTCTACCAGACTACATGGTGCAACAATCCAGAAAACAACCATCTTGAGCATATTTTGGTATTTTCACCCCTGGTAATATTATTTAAATCATCTATTAGGGTAACAAAATTATTCTATTTTAAATGTGTTTCATAAGTGTATAATCTGAGCATGTGTTCTAATGATGAATTTTGTGAGTTTATAGGCTTGAGAATTGTACGATTTTATTAATGGTCAAATAGGGTGATTGAGCTAATGTAGTCTTATTAGGCCATGAATGATTGGAATTTTGGAATTAACATTAATGTATTTCTTTTTTGAATCATTACTTATTATGTTACAAATGCCAATGTTGTTCCTTGCATTTTTTTGTTGTATCTGGGGGTACTGCTTCAGATTGATTTCATTAAAGGAACTCCTCTATTTTTGATATAGTCATGCTTAGTTTCAATTGAAATTAACTCCAGGATTTGAGTCACCACTAGTACTAATACTAGTCATTATTTGATCTTATTGCTGTAATTTATAAATATGTAAACTACATCCTAGAAGATCCTTACATGTGCATTAAAAGCGTCCTTGAAGTTCATCATTTTATTTATTACTTTAAGCTTAAGTGTCCTTGAAGTTCATTTTATTTATTACTTTAAGCTTAAGATAACTACAGTATGTCATACAGTTCAATTTAGCATTTACTAAGATTGTGTGCCACCTTAGGATGGTCTCAAGTTGACGAAGCGATGCAGTAAAAATAAAGCATCAGTTAAAATAAATTGTATTTGGAATAATACTTATTGTAATTATACTTCTGTGTAAATTTATTTATTATGTTCTGATGGATTTCAGGGAGTTGAATGTGTGGTAAGGTAAAAGGCACATGGGGGGGGGGGCAAAAACACTACAATTTTTTTTTAATGTTGGCACTAGATGAAAGTGAGTAGTAGCTTTAATCACACATCAGAATATGGCACATTCTTCCCTATTCTTAAACCATACCAATTCACAATAAAAATTCTGTACAATTACTTGGTCCCTTTGATATTTCTTGCTTCACCCAGTCAGCATTGTTTATAGCCTTCGAACCTTCTAAGGACTCGTTATGCATTTCTTGCACAACATGGTCATGAACCCTCTAAGGACTTGTTATGCATTTCTTGCACAACATGGTCAAAGAGAATGCATACAGGGAAGGAGTCCATATGTTTACCTGTTGTGTCTGCAGAATACCGAACAGAATTTGTTTACATTTGGGCTTGAAAGCCTGCACTGAAAAGTTGTCTGGCAAATTTAATTTTGACTGTCAGTTCAATAAATCCTCCATGTTACATTTAAACCTGAAATTAAACTTTATTTACTTCCTCAAAAGGGCTCATTGTTCATAAAATTGGTAGGTATAATGAAAGAAATATATGTGCTTCACAAACAATTGTATTGGCTTTTGGCTGAAGAACATTAGTACAAATCGTGAAATAGTCCCATTTTTAAGGTACACGTTTCCTACAAACAATATGCAAGACACACAAAAATTATACTCTCAGAGTGCTCCATGTACGTAGATCTCATTAAGACGAACCTTTATTTGAAAATGTTTTTGATGTGGTAAATATTTAATGAAGTACAAGGAAAAGTAATTCCAAACTACACAGTGATTATCTTTGCAGCGGTACAAAGCCTACATTGTACCTGGATCCAAACCTATGGAACTTCTCTTGGAGGTCATCAACAAAAAGAATGGGTGGGCTAGTATTTATTGCAATCATGTTACAATAAATATAAATGTGTATTGTTTTTGATGATGCCTTCACTAAAAGCAGAAACTGTCTTATGCTGATGTTAGCAATGGTTAAGGAGTAGCCTACATTTCTGAGGTGCATTGGACTATGCTGCCCTTAATGGTAGCGTGATGATGACCAGGAGAAGGGACTGACAGCTTCATGTGGGCTCTGAACCACTTTAGTAGGGGTAGGTGCACTCCTCACATTCTTGTTGAAGGTCTTCATCTAAAGACTGACTGCAAAGGGAAAATGGGCAGTGATTTGCTCTGAAGAGTCAGCTGCTACATTGATTAACCTATAGGCAAACTGCAAAAATGGAACTACAGACTTGTGTCTGTCTGCTCAGCAGCTGCATACACAAAGGTTCTGTGCATGTAAGCAAAATGAAGAAACACCAAAGAGAGCAACTGTAACGTAGCCACAAGGCTACATACTAAAAGACGTGCTGCAGGGACTGGGATTGATGCCAACAAGACCAGTGCTACCCTAAGAGCACTCAGCCCACCAAATATAGCTAATGAAAAGAAGAAGAAGGCATTACTCGCTTCTTGATAAAAAAACAGCGATACAGCAAGAGTGAAGACATGACCAAACATGCCATACCCTAGCAAGGCTGTCATCTCAGTAAGAGTCACTGTGGCCTGGCAAAGCCAACCAAGAACATATGCTGCTACTGGCATCAGCACAGAATAAAGTAGTAGCACTTCAGTAGGTGTTGTACTTGCAGCAGCAGAGGGTACCTTTGAGGCATGACCATAGTGCAACATACCTGCCATAAGAAGTAGAGCAAGACTTGGACCCAAAAAGTCTACATACACACGCCTATATTTTTCACCTAAGAAGGGAGGAACTAGTGATACAAAAATTCGATGTAGCAGATGTGCAGGGGGAACCATGAAATGCAGTTTTACAGAGCTTAACAGTGTCCGGTTTGTGGCCGTGCTGTTGACTCTCCACCCATTATCTACATATCCTCCACATCTTTGATCATTGCCAATGAATATCACTGAACACCTCTTCCCACCACCAATCATTCTGATCACAAACTTCTGACAGAATATGGCAAGGTAAAATTAATTTCTATCTTGCAGTGGAAACTTAATTTAAATACATGCATACAGTTCAACAACAATTTGTTATTTTAAATTATGAGAGTTTGAGACATTCATAATACTAAATATTTCACATTCACTGTTAGCATTATTAAGATCTTGTAGGTTTCTGGTCATAAACCATTCGTGAGACATGTACCTCTCAGATTAATGTCAAAGTTCCTTTATTTTCATACACTATTGAATTTTTTGTCTTAATGCTTAAGCTCAGAGCTACTACGTGACATGTCAAAGACCATCTTCCTCTGAACACAGTCACCGTTTGTTCCAATTGCTATTACTTCTGCTGACGCTTTTTTAGTTCTTCACTGGCTTCTGCCATCTCCTTGCGAGCATCTTGAAGCTCAGCTTGAAACCTGGCTACAAATGACCTTAATCTTTCAGCACCTAGCCGTGGATTTGAAGCTGCCTGTTGGCCACGTGTGAACAGGTACACCACAAGTTGAGCTGCACGACGGATCGGATAGGATTCAGCCAACCGACTCACAACTCGTTCATTGTTGGCCAAATAACGGAAGAAGAAGCGCAGAACCATCCCACTCGCTGCATAAAGTTTAATCATTTATTTGTTAAATACAATGATTATTATTAAAAAGGAAACATAAGACAAAGTATTTAATATAAGTAGGATTTGAGGTTTTCATGGCAGTCAGTCCAAAGATGGCTGTCTAATGGGTCATTGTGCTGTGTAGTCTGGTAGATGTTTATGAATGTATCAGAGGTCCTTGTTGCCTCAATCTTCAGGGCAGTGAACCCTGATAAAGGAGGCAGCAAGGGCCTCTGAAATGTTGGTGAAAGTCTACCAGACTACGTGGTGTAACAACCCAGAAGGCAGTTATCTTTATTTAATGTAAATACTAATACTTCAAAAGAAACCTACATATATATATATATATAATTGTAAGTAATTAAAATAAATGTAAAGGTAGAGGTAAAGTTGTCCCTGGTGCTTAAAAATACTGTACAGGGGAGTGGAGATATAGCTCCATGACCCAGCCACTTCACCCTCCATGAAAAAAACCTGGTACCCACTGGAAAGTAAGCTGGGTAGGCCTCAGACCTGGTCTAGACGTTATGAAAGAAAAATATCCTGCCCTGCTGAGAAATGAAATGTTTCCATACTAAACTCCTACTCTTGTTTTATGCCATCTGATCGCAACTTTTGGCCAGCCCTGTATGATCATTTAGATCAGGTCAGAAATATCTGCCCAACACTGCAACCAATTCACTATATAAAATAATACTGATATTTGCCATTCAACATAAAATAACAACAGTACTTGATACAGCTTTCTTAAATACACATACCTTACTACTTTTAAGATTTTGGAATGTCAAAAGTACACATATGTCTATACTTCAGCAAAAGGTCTTTCTTTAATTGCAGCTGTTTTCTCAGAGTTTCAAGTTTCTGGAGTTGCTCTTCTTTGCTATATTCCACGCCAGGAAGTTTGCGGATCTGTATCAAACACATTTTTGGTTACTTTAAACATAGTACAGATTTAATATTGCATGGTGATATATTTGCTGTAAAATTGGTTTTCCATTTTACTCTCTACCCACACACACTGCAACTGCCATGACACATGAGCCTTAAATTTATATGACAAGGGGCATAATCAAAGAGTTTCAACAAGAAACGATGTCAGAGCAAATTATACACAGACTAAATACAGCTAACTTGAGATGCACATGTACCAGAAAACTGGGACGAGATTTAATATTATCATCACTTAAGAATGTGTACAACACAGGAATACCAATGGCTATATTAAATGTAATATACAAGGTGATCCTCAGAGTTCTTACACTGTGTAATATTGTGGCTGTACACCATTTCAGAGGAACACACTGCCTCCATCTTTCACATTACTGTGAAAACTTCAAATCATACATTAAATGTGACATAACTTTCGGTTGCTACAAATGCAAGCTCAAGACACCGACAAGTTCACTGGACCCAACATAAGAATGAAGTATGGGTTCATGAGATTTGGAGTCGGTCTACACTCGTCTGTCATATGTCTTGATAAACTTATAACCAGGAAATCATGAGACATGTTCTGTAAAATATCAATATTACGTATCTTTCCACTTTAAAAACACCTAACCATTTGACAGGCTAATTAACTGGAAGCATAATGCAAAGTTTCAACATCAAGTCATTGCTGGATACAGCCCTTAATTAGCTCTATTTCTCATCTTCAGAAACCATCTCTTAGATATCATTCCAAATGCCTACTTTCTAAGAGATCCAACCAAAATTCTGTAAGCAGTTTGTATCTCCCCTGACTGAGATACATTTCCACACCACTGAAACCTCCTCTTATCTACTAGACAGTCCTCAATGACCTGCAAAAGTTCCTTGTAATGTAACAGTGTAGTTTTATAACCAAACATCTTCATGCATTGTTACTCCTGCACCTTGGAACTCCATACTGGAGGGGAACCCTATGACTGCTAATTGAATATATGCTTACAAAGTGCCTACACAAAATGGACAAAAATAGCAGTGTATTCATATGAATATAAGAACTCGCGTAAGTAATAACGCGCAATATCTCAATACCTGATTCCGTGCTTGATCAAGCTTTCTCTGCAGTTCTAGTATTTTCTGGCTTGTATCCTGAGACTCCCTTGCTTTCTGGCTTGTATCGTGCGGGTCTCGTTCAACACTGAAATTATCAGTTTCCCATTAATGCGAGTTTGTTTGAAGTTGATTGCACAAAAAATTAAACACGTTCCCTTATGAGCTAATTTAGGACAATGCAATCTATAAATAAAATAATATTAAAGTGTACCACGTAGCAATTTAACCGGGTACTTCAAAGACGACAGAGAAATGCAAATACACTTTTGTACACACATCACTTAGATTCGTACCATCTGATTATCTCATATATGAGTGGTAAAAATTCTACATCGACATTATCAACTGTCAATTGAGAAGATAATACAGCACCATTCTGGTCTACTGATTCCATAATACCATTACGCTTTTTCAGTATTACAAATGACTAACGTTGCCAACAGGAAATTTAGGTGTAGATGGAATGACTTGGCTGCATTGAATATCTAAGAACATCGGTTGTTATAATCTGTGACATAAGCATCAAGGAGGCAGCTGAACGAAAATAAAGTTTGTTTGACAGTGACTTTTGTGCTTAGAGTTTTTGTTTATTTGGCGAGCCAAATTGAGTATGGGAGCCTTAACAAGCAGACAGCATGCTGGAGTAGAAGAGGTCGATGTTGTATCAAATCATGCATATAAATATCCGCCAAAATCAGGTATGTTAAGAGTTTTAATTGAGTTGTAATTGTATAAGTCTTGGCACTGAAAGTAGCTAATACACCATTCTTCCTATCTAGGCAATTATTTTGGGAGCCATTTCATCATGGGCGGAGAGAGGTTTGATACTCCACAACCAGAAGCCTACTTGTTTGGGGAAAATGCAGATCTGAACTTCCTAGGAAGTAGGCCTACCCCTGTAAGTAATGTTTTTATACCGTAAGGGTTGCCAACTGCCACAATTGAGTCGGAATCGTTAGAATGTGTCATATTTCAAAAGTAGTGATTGACATAATGTCAATTTATGAAGCGATAACGTTAACAGATTGTTACAAAGCAAGTGACAAGGATGTAGAAGCACATTCAAATGTTGGTTAAAATTGAATAACAATAATGGAACATTAATGTAATGATCTACAGTTATAACTGCATGCTGTGGTGAGGGGGGGGGGGGATCTTCTGCATAGGGAATCCCTGGCCAGACAGACAACCACACAAATATGTGGAAGAATCTTTGGTGAATATTGTGCGCTGACAGCACATAGCCAAGCAGATGTTGAACACCTCACTTATACAGATATCATTTATCCCAAAGAACTCACATCACAGATACCATTCAGAAAGGTTAAAGGTCATGTTTTGATGGAGCAGCCTCTTATAACATTGATTATAGGACAACATTTACGAAGTAAACGTCTAGATCCAATAACAGACTGAATTTGCAACTTCTTAAAGTTTTATAAATATTTCTGGGAAACGTAACATAGTATTTTCAAACAGGCCATGGCCATCTCCTGCTCCTGTAGCCTTCACGCTTCATAAAAATCCTTACATTTCATTTGACACCAAATAGCCTCCATAGTTGCCACATCATTAACCTACCAATCAGTCTCTGTGGGAGTTGAATTATAATTTTAGTGTAACCTTAACTTTTCTGTGCAGGATACTGAATATATTTTTGGGAACATTTCATTTTTAGTTCCCGTATCCTCCACCACAAGCCAATGAGCCAACAAAGACATTGAAGAGCCTCGTTAACATTCGAAAGGAATCGCTGCGATTTGTTCGAGTCCCAGAAAGTCTCAGTAAGTGTGGTGAAAATGATATAGAAGCTGCTAAATCTACTCAGTTCAACATTGAATTCACATTTGATTGTGATGCTCGATGTGCAATCACTATCTATTACTTCTGCACGGAGGATTTCATGGCAAATGGAGTTGTGTGAGTACATGCTTAATTTTATTGTATTTGCTACATGGGAACCTGTAACTGAATGAATCTTTTGGTAGTCACTGATGTGTTGGTTATCAGATCAGACTGACAATATCTATAATCAAATTACACATGTCTGTTTAATCTTTAACCCTTAAGTAGGCTAAGCACATGTATGCGTGCCTGGTGGGAGAGTGTGTATATATGCGCGCTTCATAAAAAATAATGTTTCTCAGTGGGCTAAGCTCATATATGCACACAATTTCTCTCATGCCTCTAACGAGTGTTCTGCCATCTAGTGATTTTTTTTAACTCAGTGGTGCTGCTCTAAGTCATAGTATGTGCACTTACACCGAGATTTGTCTACTAGTGTGTTATGTTGGCAGTCACCTCATTTGACCACACATCTTTCAGGTGGCATAGCAGGCTTATGAAAAATGAACTGTCCTGACTTTTACATATTTCTTTAAGAACACAATTGTGTGTGTACCCCAGTATAACAGGGGTTCCAACACATTTCAATAGACACATAATGCAGTATCTTAATCATCTTTTGTGGTTGGTTGGCCTCAAAGGTTTTCAGACCTCAGCCTGTTTGATTTCCACATGTGAGGTTGCATGAATATGAAGTGGACATGAGATGAATTGCATTGTCTAATTTTAAATGCCGTGTTCAAAGTAAGCCGCACTAGAGTTCTTGGTAGCGTTATATGTTCAGTAGGAAATTGAGTCCAATGTGTACCCAGGCTGAAGTTGGTCACTTGGAACACTTTATTTTAAAATGAATTGTACAGTGTAAGAACTTGCTCACTAAAACAGTTTAATTATGTGTAAATAATCCTTGCACTGTAAACTCTCTAGCGCTTTAACTGTTAAGAATCGGTCCCATGTTCACATGTGCTATGAATGGCTTCATATGTACTCCCCTGAAGGACTGACGTACTCATGAAACGCTATGTATATTTATCCCCACCTCCAAATATAACACTGATGTGTTGTTATTTCAGGTACACGCCTCGTGATGCTTGTATGAACTCTGAAACATATCATTATAAGCGTGGGGCAAATCAACAGTTCTGTCAAGTGTCTCATATTTTTGATCCAAGTCAATACTTGGAGGAAGAATTAACATACACTCCTGACCGAGATTTGATTCCTATAGCAATCCACTGTGTTGCAGAAGAAGGGGAAGGTAATGAATATATAGAAAATGAGCATGCCTTTTAGTTAAAGTAGGATTTGAGGCTCTCACAGCAGTGAGTATAAAGATGGCTGTCTTCTAGGTTGTAGCTCCGCGTAGTCTGTTATAAGTTTACTTCTACCAGAGTACATGCCCACATTCTGCTTCTAAGGTGCTCTCCCATGTAAAAAAAGTTTTCTCTTTTACTCAGTCCATTACAGAATGCAAGTAAAATTAATTTAACGTAGTGTTCAGAATGTGTACTGTGTTCGAGAAACACGGCCCCTGTTATTCTGTGTGCACTGATTACAAACCAGATCACACGTTCAGCTTGTGCACTTCAGTGGTTGCTATTTTGATTATTCAATCATTTAAAATAAACTTATACCCTGAATATGCAGACATTGAATTCCTCCAAAACATGATATGAAGCGAGAGTTTCAGTACAATACATTTTTTTCCTGCATACAATTTACAAATGTTATCATGCTTCCTTTTCTAAAACCATAACAGAAATATTATGAGCTACTGTATACTGTTTAATAAACTTTGTTAGGATTTATTTAAGTTTTTCTCTTTCAGAACCACGGCAGTCTCACACAACAATTGCAGTTGTAGACCGCCATTCAGATGGGACATACATCCTCAAAGCATTGAAGCAGAAACTGTTTGTTGATGGACTATGCTTTCTTTTACAGGAAATTTATGGCATTGAAAACAAAAACAATGATAATAATAAGGTGTGTTCTTACTGTAACACTGATGATATTCCAAAAATAATCGTATGCATGTGATTCGGTTATTATTAACTTTTATTTCAGCTCAAAAATGTAACTTAGTTTATCCATTAATACCTGTATATAACAACGTTTCAAAAAAATATTTTAATTTAAGATGGTTGAAATCACTGTGCACTTTAGCATGTTTTAAAATAAGGAACTTCATGATTTAGACACATCAGCTGGTATTGTTAGAGTAGAGTTTACTTTGTGGGCAAGTAACTTAGATTGAAGAGGCAAGTAATGTGGGAAAGCTCTTAAAAACAGGAATTTGTGCGACTGAGAAGGAGATGAGAGGATAACATTAATATGGATCATAGGGATACAGGTTTTGAGGATGTTAGGTGGATAGAAGTGGTTCAGAATCATGTCCAGTGGTGTGACTTTAGGCTGATTCATGACCAGTAGTTGTATATTGTGTCAAAATATGGTGAGTAATATCTCTGTTTCAGAGTGCTCTGGATGAGGATACAGAAGATAATGGGTCAGAATGTGTGATATGCATGTGTGATGTGAGAGACACTTTGATTCTCCCTTGCCGACACCTTTGTCTGTGCAACTCTTGTGCCGATTCTCTTCGCTACCAGGTTGGCTATGTGTAATAGTGGCTTTGTAATTGTTTATAAATATGTTCTTGCTGTATTTTCATTAGTCACACACAGAAAAGCTGCAATATTGCAGAGAAGACTGAGGTAGTGTGCAAAATGTGAATGAAAATTTGGTCATGCCCTCTCTGGTAAAGGCTACCTACTTCCGCTCTATTCTCTGACGTGCAGTTTACATGTATGTTTAATTTTTAGAATTGGTTTGTATGCTTAGAAACTTATTTCCACAAATTTTGTGCTATGAATTTCTATCAGAAGTTCTGAATCTGGTTAACCTTAATTCTTCTTAAGAATTGTAGTGTTTTATAAAAATGTAAGTGTCTACAATGTAAAATTCTGCCTAAGATAAGAAGCTGAAAGTGTTGAAAATTAAGTATTTTTCATGATCATGCCAAATCTTACCATTCAACCTTGGAGAACCTGGCTAATTGGTTTTGCATTGATAATCCAATTTCCTGGACAAGGAATCCAGATGCAGACCAGATTATCATGAAGTGATTTAGATTGAGCTTCATCCAAATATCATGAACAAGGATGATGGTTTCTCCCTGAGGAGGTCATGGAATCTTCCCATTTTCAGAATGAATGCAATGCTTTCACTCAGCACTCCTGTGCCCATGGTCCTTATGATGGCATTCCATTATAGTTGTCCCCTGTAGGACCTACCCTTTTAAGAGCCTCTTTGTCGGCCAATAATACCCTTTTATCTGCTTTCCCACTGGGTGCGGTGTCTGCATACCCTCTTCATACCATCCTCACTCCCACCAGCCATTCTCCCATTGCTGTTCATAAATTTATCCTCTGGACCACCAATTTACCTTCTCGTTCCTCTCCACCACTCAATA